ACGCTGCTTAGGTGTATATGGGCCTGCACGAAGGTGAGTCGTGGCAATTGTATGGGCCTTTTGCTTACGTGTTCGCTGCTGCGTTCGGTCTCGCTTCTCGATGAGTTTCGTGGGCGACGGTTGTGCGTCGGTTCACACTTCGCAGTGAGGGCGTCGGGGTGTTCCCTGCGCAGGGCGCTTGCTGTTTTCTCGGGGAGGGGAGTTGAATGCGCCGCCGGGGGCTTCGTCTTTCAAATCGGCCTTGTCCGGTCTGCTGGGTAGCTGGAGGTGTTCACGGCGACATCTGGTTGCGGGGGTTCGTCAGCTGTTGTTGTTCCTGCGCTGCATCTATGTTTTTCTTCGTACTTGTTTCCTCTTCCGATTTGGGTGGCGGCGTTCTTCCGCCGTGGGCTCTATTGGTGTCCGTGCCTCTTCCTCGAAGGGGTGGTTCTTCATTGACGGCGCATATGCAGACTGGTTTCTCGGTGCCTCGTGGACAAATCGGCGCCGCGTCTGGCGTTCAACCCCATCCCACCCTCATCCGCCACTATCACCTCCTCTTACTCCTCCCATTCTCAGCGTCGGCCGCGGGCCGCCCCCTCCTCCTGCCGTCCACGATGCGACCCCACTGCGGCGCCTTCCCCTGCGAACCTGGTGGCGATGTCTACCACGATGGGCGAAGGGGCGTGGTTCATCGGAGGACGCGGCGCCCGGTGGTGGCGCTATCCTCCCTGGTCATCTACATCTGTTACTTCTCCTTCACGCTGGCGTGGAGCCACCCTCTGTGAGGCCTTCGCCGCCGCTACGCAGCAGCTCGCTATCCACCGGACACCTAGACCGAGGAGGAGCAGTGAACGCTGACTCCTCGAGGCATGCTGCAAGCAATAAAGATTCAGGACTTCAAGAGGCCCTACTTCTTTGGGATGGGCAAACTCAGCAGCAAAGTGCCCATCGTCAGATGGCGGACCGCTCAAGAGCTCAACAGAGGGAGGGGGCAGGTATCTCTGATACATCCTATTTCTCTTGAGTTTTTTTGTCCTTCATTTTTTGGATTCAGTTTCCCTTTTAGATAGCAGGCTATTCCCCCGGCCTTATAATGAGTCAGGTTTTACGATCAGATTCACAGTTCAGCGATCGGCCTTATAATGAGTCAGGTTTTACGATCAGATTCACAGTTCAGCGAATACCAGAGATAACAACACCTAAACAGGGACAGGGCGGCGCAATGCCCAAATACAGTTTGGTCGCGCGACAAAATGCAGCAAAAGAAGGTTCTTTCATGCTTATTCAGGTTCAGTTTCTTCCATGGTTAATTTTTTGGATTTAGCGAACTGTTCAAATAAGAGATGTACCGTATCTTATTCATTCCATGGCTGATGAAGAACGTAGTATAAAGTTGCTGCTCCAAGAAGAATGTGGATAATCGAAGCAACTTTTTTTGTAAGATGCTTTAATTCATCCTATGACCTAATTGCTAAAAAAATGTCACCACAGGTTTGGTTGAAGTACTAGGAAGTATGGTGAATTAATTTTGGCAATGCTCTGCAATGGCGTGGTGCTTGTGTAATGCTTCAGTGAGTTCCATGTTCTCTCCTTCATTTCCTTCTTTGTCACAAATTAATTAGCTTCTTCCTGCCATTTTAGCCGACCGGCCTGAAGGCCAAAGTGATGTATGTGTAGTTTATTTTTCTTTGTTCAAGCACAAAAATGGCAGCAACTGTTCTTCCTGGATAGGATTGCCTTTTGACATTTCATGGTATTTTAGTCCTCACGGTTTGCAATATTAGTCTCATAGTTGAATTACAATGTCCATTAAAAAAAGGATTTGGGATTTACACAATCATTAAATTGTTCAACGTCAGTATAGGGGGCAGATTGATGCATTTCCCTTTATGTAGGCATTGGCATAGCTAAATCACAGAGGCAGTGTGAACGCCCTGAGAACCAAGACAACACCTGATGCCCCTGCCTCCTTTTCTGCTGCCATCGGCGCCGGATTTACAGGATATTTGTTCCTGGATGGCTATATGAATTGTTATATTTGGCTTATTAATGTCAGCCTTTGTTTATATGGTACAGACACAACAATGGTTGCCATATGGAATCAACACGCAGAGGGCTCCGATGCTAAATGATATATGGACATGACCAGCAGAGGATCAGTGGTGTTCTTCCTATTGGGGTGACATGTCATATGTTTGAAGGTAAATAATCAAAGGCCAATTCCCTCTGCAGCGCCCCATACATTTATTTTTCATGCTGAATTCTGTAAGGCTGTTTCCTTGCCTTACTTACCAATGTATTTTATATATTGGAACGTGGTCGCTTCAGGGATCAACATTATGCAAATGGTATGAAAATCCTCAACTTCCTGAAGCCATTGCCATGCAAGATAGGTAAGCGATGGTAAGACTGATTCTCTACTACAGGCTTAGTGCTCTGAAACATCTTTTTTGCCATTCTCCTCTTTTTTAGGAACAATCCCATATAGTAGTACTCCTTTTGATCCGAAAAAAGTGTTGTGGTTTTAGTTCAATTTTTTTTTATCGGAGGAAGTACCACTTAATTATAACATAAATTTGAAGAAAAGAGGAAATGTGTTTTGTTGATTATCATCTAAGAAATTACATCACGCAGTTATAATATTTGTTCAATTATTCCTGGTCTTATCCATTCAGTTCATATCTGTAGACAAAACTGATGCAACTCCATAGTCATTTATTGCTAGAATTAAGAAAATGAAATTTTACATTGAACCGCTCTTTCTATATACATTTTTGGCTGAAAGAGATATATCGCCAAGTGATGCCATTAGTACCAAAAATGCCAAACGGAGACCGAGCTTCATGGAGAGACCTTAATTTGAAAACTTCAAAATCCGAACTTTTCAGTTTCAGAAAATTCTGAATAGAAATACACATATACCTAGATACATAATGTAGCGTGCAATTTTTCCAGTCGAAATATGTTAAAATGAGAGCTACACAAAAAAGACAAATCTGAGGCTTTTTAGCATATGTACTGTTCATCCTCAAAGTCCATGATTGTGTTCTTTTTGTGCAGCTCGCAATTGTTGGTATTTCATTCTGAAATTTTACACACATACACCTTACATCCTTGCATACATGGGTATTTTTATTCAGAATTTTTTGAAACTGAAAATTTCGAATTTTTCAAAATAAAGGCTCCTATGGAGCCCGGTCTCTGAAATCCCTATATGTCCCATGAAACCTGCATCAGGACAGCAGGGCTGGGCTTTCTTCTAATGACCTCAACATGGTCTGCAGATCACCTAGCTCACGCACAGGATGCACTGCATGCGCATGGGGCATCAGCAACATTGTAGTTGAGTCGGACGCCCAGCTGATGATTGAGGCAATCAACACACAACCACTATTTAGGTCTGAGGGGTTCTGTTCAGGGATATTAGCGCCCTATCTTTTCTGCATTTCAATGTGTTTTCTACTATTTCCTATTGCCCATGGGTATATAATAAAGTAGTTGACGCTCTTGTGCAGTATGGATCAAAGATGGTACAATAAGTTCTGAGCCGCATGGCCTACCTTCATACACGCATAACGAATCTATTCATAAACAACCTTTTTGCCAGCACATGTCGATCTTTTGTATTTCCCGCATGTCAATCTTATGTATTCTCGGCGCGGCAAAGCGCACATGACCCTCTAGTGAGATTCTATACTACCAAATTAAAATGTATGTGTACATCTCATTGTAGACAACAAGCCTTCATTCTTTCTTTATTAGAGAGGGTTAACTTTTATTTGCAAAGAGAGGGGGTTAAATTTGTTACTATATGTACTTGCCCACAACTAAAATTAACTAAAATAAGAGAGAAAAATCAATGTGAACATGGATTCAACCGCCATTTGGCACAACGGGAATAACTACAAGGATTTATTCGCATACGTATACATCCCTAAATGGAGAGAATTACAGCACAGGATCTAAGTAAAAATCACCGCGAAAGAGGGGAAATGCAAGATCCGAATAAATGAGAACTAAATCCATGCATGAAGAGAAATCACAAATCGAAGGAAAGGAGAAATCTCACCGGTTGAGTATGCTTATCTCGCCCAACCAAGGAACTGAGGAGGGAAAGGGGATAAACAGGCTCCGATGGATTCAGTCCCTGCCACTTCATCTTCTACTCCAGATGGGCCTCACACAGCATTATTCGTGGACTGGGCTAGGTGGCATATGGGCCTTTCAAATACCTATGCCTCCATACGCACAACACAAATAGGGTTTTTTTTCATGCACATGAAAAATAAAGTTTGGTACAAACACTGCTAAAAAATACATCCTTAACTGGTCTATACATCTTATAAAAATATGTTTTCTAAACTCAGATTTCTCATCGTGATAACCATATTTTCAACAAATATGCTTTTTAAACTCAGATTTCTCATCATGATAACCATATTTTCAACTGAAAAAATTGCTTCCTTAGCTGGTCTATACATGTTATACAAATATGATTTTTTTTTCAAACTCAGATTTCAGAACGTGCTAAAGATATTTTCAGTATAGCATGGTTTAACACATTGGCTTTCTACTACCAATATCGAATATGTCCTTGCAAAATGAAACTATTTTCTCTACGTCATTTGACGCAACGGGTCAACTAGTCATAGTAATCGAAGAGTGACAATGGCTATACTTTATAACATGAATGAGATGCATTCACGGCTAGAATAATATAAAAAATGACAATGCAGAAGCATCAGCCATTTATCATCACAACAAAGAAATGAGCAGGTAACTTTCCAATTGAATTAGTGGCCGTGGCCTAAAACAAACTTAAGTACAAATTACAGCTCTCTACAATACTTGTGGGGAAAGGCCTTAGTACAAGTATACAATGCGGTAAACTAAAGCATAATTTGTTCCTTCGCTCCATTAGAAGCAAGTCGTGAAGCACTTGTTGCCTGATTAAACAATAATATTCCATGGCTGCTATTCTAGATTAAAAGAACCACGTGGGAAGAGATTATCTACCATCAATCATCAATGATTTCATGCCCATCCACCTCACTTGCTTCGGTAGCAGCAATTGTAGTGGTATGAATGGTCTTGTTGCTACCACGGCAGTGCAGCAGCTGCCGTTGAAGGCTCTCGATAAGCTCATTAAGCTGTTGAATGTTTTTCTCTTGAGACAAGAGTATCTGCAGATAGCACGTGTAAAGTATTGTATGAGGGAAAGAAAGGGTCGGTGGATATGAAGCTTCAGCAAATTCTTGCCCCGGCAAACCAGACATGAAACAGCAGAGTGCATTTCCAAACAACACAATCAAAAGCTACTGTGGTCAATTCTTGCATAAGAAATTTTGCTAAATGAAGTCACTCATTAGTCAGATCCTATCTCCATTCTCCAAACTAGCAGAAATACCAAAAACATTGTACTGGTCAATCAAAATGTAGGGATAGCAAAAGAATTGATGAACGACATAGCCTAGGTTTGAGAGTGAATGACAGGTGTAGTGCATCATCCACGGGAACAGATCTAAACACGGTGGCACTCACAGGGGTATTACATTATTTGCCACAATTTACTAGGGGTTTGATGATTTGCCCGGGGGTTGTCTAAAAGGTGGGCAGACCCGGGCCTCCTAGTCATTTGGGGAGGGGGAGGCAAATTCTCAGTCTATTTTAGCCCGCATACACTTATACTTTACAAGAAAATCCATGGATGTAGGTGATGTGAGAACATCTGCATATCAAAAAGGCCCCACGCAAAGATCATTAGATGTGCATTCTCATAAAAGGATAAGAGAAACTCCAGCAGAGTCGGCATATCCACAGACCCCATAGCGCGTGTGGAGCGCACTCCATAATGTTTTGGAGGTTGTGTATGCTGTGCGCAAACACGGTGTCGCCATAATGCGGCCTCCATAAGAAAAATATGTTTTTTCCTCTCACGGGCCAATCCTTTTGGCGATCCTCCCAGAATCTGGCCCCTCCACAGCTTCCCCAGAATCTGCCCCCAAGAATCCAAATGCAACAAATAGTTCAAATTAATAAATAATCTGAATGCAACAAATAATCCAATGAAGCAAATTGTTCAAGTAAAAATAAATGGATCTTAAAGAAATATAAACGCACTATCTCCCAATTAATTGCCATTGACTCAATGAGATCCTCACGCAGCTGATCATGAGAGGTCCAGTCTTCAATCTTCCGGTATGCCTCAAGAAATGCTTGAATGCAGTTTGTGTACCTGCGAGGCCTAACGGTTATGCCAACATTTTCACAATGATCATGTTGTGTGAGATCACACAACATGTTATGATTTTTGCCAACACATCTTTGTTCCAGAAACGAGCAGGACCCCACACAATTGCAAACATAGCTTGCATCACTCCAAATGCTCTCTCAATGCCCTTCCTCTCTGCTTCTTGCGCCTTTGCGTAATGCTTAAGTTTCCTGGTCTCATAATTAGAAGTTGTCGATGCCATCCGCTAAATAGTAGCCTTGGTCATAATGACCATTCACCGTGTAGTTGCATGCTGGAGTAGTACCACCTGCTAGCCTAGCAAACA